TCTGTTCCCACGAAGACCCGCTCTGTGTTCTCCATCTGCAGTGTTGGTGTTTCTATTACCATTTGATTCCATGCGTCTGTGCACAACCCAACATTTTGAACCTTCGAGCCAAAGCGCCTCAAATGAATCCTTAGCTCCCCGCATCAAAATGATTATTCCTAAACAAACCGTGTTTAATCGACTGCGTGCCACTCTCCATCTGGAGGATGCTGTGTGACATCTTCCCTTAAATTACAAATATCAATCTGTCACAGTGGGAGCTCGGCTGCCAGTGGCCTCATGGGGGTCCACGTCAAAGCAGCCAGCCTTTAAACAAAGCCATCAAACAACTGACTGCAGTAGATTTTTCCACACAAAACAATCATATCTGTAACATGATCACAGTTCTGACACAAACCAGGTCCCAAGGAAAGACACTTTGTACAGCACTATAACACTTAGGGATTCAGGGAGTCGGAAGGAACACACGTACAGAGACAGAAAACCTCTGCCATGTTCATGACTCTTTCAATAATGAGGGAGGTTTACACTGAAGGAAACAATTCTACTATCTTCAACATAACGTCTTATGATGCTGCACTAGAAGAATTCCAAGAATGCTGTAACTAAACAATGATAACAAAAATATTTGTCTCAAACACCTAGCATTGACAAATGTGGCTGGAAACTATAAACAGTCATGCAGTGTTTATGTTGCCACAGAATTAAGCTGCATATTTCTATGTGGTACAAAAATGCTTTAGGACCGCGGTGAAGTGCAAAGAAAGAAAACAAAAAGTGTAAAACCATCTCATTCACAGCTTCAGTGCACAGCCTGTTACCAACACAATTCATTGAAATCATTAAAATAAGCTGAATTAGCCATCGTACAACAACGTACAACAGCCAATGAGAGGATAGGAAAACACACTAGATGGGTTTTTCTAATGGAATGTATTAAATTGCAAATTTAGTATCCAAGGATGAAATACCTCCAAAACACAGATATAACTGAATCCAGCGAAGGGCGAGCAAGTTTGTTGGCCACAGATAACCACTGGCCATTTGTTGTTATGCCTCAGGGCACCTTGTCAGTCAACATACCACAGATATTTAAAAAACACCATATTATTTTATTGGGTTTTCATTATCAGAAAAAAATGAACTGATACCATGATGTACAGATCCTACATCATTATATTTGGCCAGTGTTTGGCCCTCAACTTCTGTACCGTATATCGGAAATCGTCTGCACCAACTTGTAACAACTTTACGCCGATGCTGTTAAAATACATAAATAAACACTTGAGTGATCGATATTCTCAGATGTAAGCCAAGCCCCTTTGATTCTGGGTCAGCTCTGTCTGGCTTCAACCCTCCTATTTCCTCCCCACTGAAGGCACCGACAGACGCTATAAGCACCGAGGGCTCACAATCTGCTGCGTGACCAGCAGGACTATCCCTGAGCGTGTTTTCCCTCTTCATCGCCGGCCGCCAGCCCAAAGCAACACTACCACTTACACTCCATCCACCCGCTTATTGATACACTTCACCACAGGATTGCATTCGAGTGCTCCTCGGGAAAGCAATAGGTCTGCAGGGTGGTTTAATTCAATCAGCATTAGGGAGGGAAGGAAGGGAACACAGATCATTCATCACAGACAGAGGACCAGTCCAGGAAGAACCAGAAAAACTCAACCAGGGCTTCATTCTTACTCCATAACCATTAAATAAAATGCAGCAGTGGTCCAGAAGGACACTGGGGCAGCTGGGTTTATCTGGGATGTTTGCAGAAATCTAGAATGATGTGATTGGTGCATATATTTGACTGATTTCAGAAATAAAATCCCCCCTGCAGAAAAACAAATCTAAACAGTAAAGAAGCATAAATTCAAAAAATAATAAATAAAATAGAGTATGCCAAATTGCAATTATGTTAATGAACAATGTGAATGTGGGACTGTAAATGTGTGGCCTGGTCTTACAAAGTTGGGCATCACTTTTATAAATTGTTCACGGGGAGATAAACTGCTCCAAATCCAAGAGGAAAGAAAGAAAGAAATACTTGGTGAGTGATGTCGCTTTCAAACACACAGAAGTGCATTCAAAGGCTCTACACATTTAGATGAATGTGAAGCTCGGAAGAAACGCCTTTCTTATACAATGTGAAAGTTAATTAACGAGAGTGAAACAAGCATGGTCCATATTATTAAAATAGACCAGTCTCATGGTAATTAAAGTAATACCCGATCACAACAATAAATATTAGTGGGCTAATAACAGTACAGAATGATGATGATCAGTTGTCAAGATGAGACAGAAGACCATTAAGTTACAGTCAGCTCGCAGTGATTCATCGGTCATTGACTGCAACTGCCGATGTGCCCCTGGGCTAAACAAACCCCTCTTGGTTGCTCATCGTACCCAGTCAGGGTGCGTCCTCCATGTGTTGATCTCATGCCAAGATAAAGTTGTAGGGTTGTATCAAGAAGGGCATTTGGCCTAAAACCTGTGCCAAATGATATATGCAGCTATTAAAGGGAGCAGCTGAAAGAAGATTTATACACAAAGATGCTTAAAATAAACGCTGTTCAAGGACAACACTTAGAAAAAGGACAAAGAATGCACCAGAGCACAGAGAGCACAACAACTGGACCTCGTATGTCAACTGTAAAGGCTGACATTTAAATGACAAGTCTCAGCTGCACAACAGGAAATTGCAGCAATGTAGAAACGGATTGGAGGGAAACCTTTTTTTTTTGCATGAATGAATGAAAACACAAGTGAGTGAGTTGAAGAAAAGCTAGTCTGAAGTATTTCTGTTAATAATGATTGAGTTGTTGTTCAGATTTATAATATTTAACAAGTATAATAATTAAACACTGTTTGTATTTTGTGGTCTGTTGAACATTTAAATAGCTATGTTGGTAACATTCAGAAATATGTTTTCACTGACAAGTAATCCTTAAAACTGCTCTTAAAGTACCAGACACTTTACCTGGAGTAAGTTACTGACATTAGTGATTCTCCTGCTCCTAAATCTGTGCTGCTGTATGTAGTGATTTTATGGGTTCATTTTTTTTCTCTCTTAGGAAACTGCCTGCGTACTCGACCTGAAAAAGACCCATGTGAGGGTTATATACCAGAGCAGCGACTTTCAGCGCCGAGACTTGCGCCCTAAGGAGGAACATTAGATAAAAGTGACTGCACAATATAGTCGGCCAAATAAAGTGCCTTTGTCTCAATATAATGTAAAACCCAGACCGTCAGAAAGACTTTCTCTCACATTATTTTGCTTCGGTTGAAGGGGAGAAGTGGCTCACCTCCAAACGGCCTGGCTTTGCTAGTGCACATTGATGCAAGTCACATCACGGAGTGAGAAAGTGGAAAATATCGGCCTAAAAGGCTGAGGCTGAGGAGGCCTACAGTTTCAGTCTTGGAGCTGGAGACACTTTTACGCATTGTAAAGCGTGAGTGAAAGACTGACGCCGGCGTGTGATAGTATTCTGTACAGCTACAATGTGAGGGTAAATGGCCATTGAGATCGTTGTCTCCATCACTGACATTATCATAACGGCCCCGAATCTCACAGCACTTTAACTAACCATCCGTTTCCACTCACACACCTTCGTGTCCACAGGGTTCCACCCATGGGACCGAGCTGTGTGTCCTGAGGTAGGAAACTTACAGCACGGGTCGGGGCGGAGAGCCACAGCCTGTGGGATCAAATCACAGAGCTGTCAGTCCAACAGCCTGCAGTTAACCGAGCGTCATAATACAAATGAGCTTCGTCGGAGTCGTAAAGATCTGACAGGAAAATACAGCGACGGAGCGAGATTCGGTTTGTGTGTCTCCCTGTTCAGGTTCTGCTGCGAGTGCAGTGACGCACCGTCTCTGTCTATGTTCACACACATGCACGCGCACACACACACATACATATACATTTATATAAAACACACCTCTGCGCAGCTATCCTTGTCAAGCCTGTCTGGTTACTGCTAATAAGCCCATCATTCTGAACACTACCGTCACCATCACCATCATCAGGTGAAGCTCATACATGAATCTTAATCGCACATTTATTCTTGACAGAAAACAAAGCCTCACAGATCAGGTTTGTCTCCTCAGGGACCAGGCTTCCTTTTAGTCCCCGTGTGGACCACAGCAGCCCTGAGCTGACAAGGTCAGTGTTTCATCCACAAAAAAAACATCCCACAGAGGGACACACACACACATACACACACACACATACATAAAGTTATTTTTGTGTCCAGACCATCAAACTTGAGGGTCTGTTTTCGTGTTGGAGCCACTGCCTCAGCTCCAGTATCAGCAGCAGAGGCAGCAGCAGCTGCTGATCTCCACATAAAGCCAGGATTGTGCCTATAATGAGGCTTAGTGCTCTGAACTGTCTTCAGGCAGAGCTGCTGCTGCTGCTGCTGCTGCCTGGTTTACACATTCATGTGGACCACAGATCCCCCTCCACTGTGCAGGAGCTCCACTGAGCCCCGAGGGCCGGTGTGTGTGTGTGTGTGTGTGTGTGAGAGAGAGAGAGAGAGACTGCAGTGCAGCGCAAAAGGGTTTCTTCTCTTTGGCATCTCCATCTCTGAGCTCCAACACATCACAGGAGCAAATATTTAAAGAGTGACCTGCCGCACGAACCGCATCAGGAAACCCACTTATCCAACGCTGCGCCCCGGCTGTAGCGTTAGAACTGTGTTTGTTCCAATCTCACTGCTGCAACAGTGACAGGTGATGAACTTCTCACTAAAGCATTTAGTGTCTCGGAGGCTTTCTCTAACAGTCGAGTATCAGATCCTTCTTTCTCTCTCTCTGTAGATTAAGTGTCTGATAGAAACCCACTGCCACGGGCGACCAATTCATTTCAGAGGGGAGAAAAACGAAGAAGCAGTGAAATTGAGGTCTGCGAACTTTATGAAATCATCAGGAAAGAGAAAGGGAGGCGAGGGGGTGGGGGTGTGGGGGGGCAGGTCAACAAGCCCAGAGGAAAACTGGCCTACCTTCAACTCGATTCCAAAATGCTACAACAACGTTTGTTGGTCAGTGAGGGAGGCTTATTTGGACATCACAACTCCATGTCAGCAGAGAAAACACGTTTCCACGGAATGGGTGTATGAAGTCCGGCTACAGTCTTGCGTTTCGGCGGTGTCACCCATTCAGCCAACGGTGCCAGTCGGTTAAATCCAAGTGGAACAGTCGAGATCTTGTCTCCGAGTCTTTTGGAGCAGGTTGGAATGAGAAGAAGTGCGCCAACAAGCGCTCTCCTACGCAGATGTGACTTAGTGCGCCTGGAATAGAACCACTATGATGGCTGGGAAAGACTGGACTACTGACAGAAACGTGCGTGTACACTGTCGGCTGGAGGAGAGGATGTGCAATGATCTTCCTCCCGGCCAAAATAAATAAATAAAAAGAAAGCAAAAATGTTGCGCAAATCACGATTCATCACTTATCCTCTCCAAGGGGAAGCCGGAACATCCCGGACGCGCCGCCGTGCGCTGCGAACCTCCGCACTCACAGCGGAGACGGGGGAGAACAGAAGAAATGTATGGATATGATGGTCAGATCCGACGGGGGGGTTTCCTCCTCCAGAGCTCCGCCGCGCTTCGTATAGTTGCAATGCACACGGCGAGAAGGATCTCTCTCTCTCCCTCTCTCTCTCTCTCCGTGGTCCTAGTGCACCACAGACCGTCCCCTGACGGTGCTCACACACACACTCACGCTCACATACACGCGCTCACACACGGCCGTGGCTGCTGCACCTGCGCCCTGTCATTTCCATCCAGTGAGCAGTGAGATGGAGGGAGAGAAGAGAAGCAGGGAGGGGGGGCAACATTCCAACAGACAGCTAGAAGTTCAATTAAAGCCGCAACGTTGAATTGCTCTTAAAAGAGTTTACGTGGTTTAGGGGTGAGGAAGAAGGGGAGACAGAGAGAAAGGCGGTTGTCCTGCAGCCTCACCGGAACAGCTGAGAATTCAGGGAGAAAAAACAACAACAGCAATGAGACCATTCCACATCTTTCACTCTGAATATCAACGTCACTTCCACTCAAGTTAGTAATCCAAAGAGACAGTGGGGGATTTATGAATAAAGTCTTTTTTCATGGTGCAGCATGACCTCCACCCTCTCTCAGCCATATTCAGATAATGACAGGAAACATGTTTACCACCTCAGCTGCCCATGCTAAAGTCTGAAACAGTTATTTATGCCAAACGGAGATCCATGAAGTTCCATGAAGGTTAAACACTCATCATTGCTCATGATTGTTTCTCACAAAAAAATGTGGACTTAGTAGCCTCTTTGTTCATGGATGCATTAAGCCCCTGAGTGGAGATGGATATCTCGATGAGGCAGATATAAATAGTGGAGGTAGACAAGGTAAAACACCTGAGAGGAAGTGCAGAGGAAAAGTATAAAACTGTAGCAAGCACTAACAAATGTGTGTGGGAAACCTCTGGCGGTTTTGACCTTTGCCCTGTACTGTATGATTTAAGGACTATGCACACTTAGACAAGAGACTTTGGCAGGAAGATGCTGAGAATTCCAATGGGAGTGATGAGTCAGAGGAACAGCTGTGGTTGATCATTTTTATGGATAAAAAGTAGAAAAGAAAGTTTGTTAAACTGGTACTATAGAAAAACTGCAGAAAAATTAGTCCAGAAACACCAGGAAAAAGAAATCAGAAAATTGATCAACTTCTTTTAATGGGAGACATGAATATAGTTTGATGCAACAGTTGACGGGGGAGGAGACAGAGTGAGGCAGGAAATCATATAAGGGAAACTCCTGAAGGCGACGTTCCAAAAAGATTTCTGTCAAAGGCATGACACGCTTTCACATCCAAACATAATCCTGTTAACACAGGAGCCACCTTCATCAACTGTTGTGCCAACCTCATCAAAACTGCATTTCCTAACAAGTACCAACAAATATAGTCTTACTTTGTCAAAACGAGTACATGATGCAGTGTTTGCCCGAGCAGCGAAACAGTGTATATTTACTGTGTTACTTAAGAAGGATCTTGGACGGAAAAAGTTAGCAGTTCAAAGATCGGGGGATCTGAGATTTGAACATTTGGAACAACCGTTTCTAACAAGTCAACATGTCGTCCTTCCTCCAGGTCATACCTTCATTTCCAAACGTACACATCATCGCCGCTGTCTCTTTTATCATGAAAAAATGTTTGAACCCAATTTCAACATGCTACAACATTAAATTAGCAGGATTCCCATGAAAAACGTGACGGGGTGCAGTCGACACAAATTGTACCTCCCAAAATCTACACATTTATTACTGAAAGACTTCACATTTACAGAGGAACAAGTGTCTCCTGCTGTAACTGTAAATGGCAGCCACATGTGAACACCACACTGTCCCATCAAAGGCTTGTTTTGTTTATTCCCCCTGCTAAAAACCACATCATATTGTTGGTGATCAAACATGCGCTCACATGTGATCCATCACAGGTGAACCACCTTAGACGAGAAGGCTGCAGGGGGGACTAGAGACCGACACAGTTCACAGGACACACATCAATGTGTTTGTGTGTCAATATGAGGATAAATCCGCCTCTTTCATCACATTCCATTAGGAACTGTGGCAGCTGTAAACTAGATGGGTGGGAAAGAGGGAGGCTGTCTTGTGTAACTGCACTTGCCTGAGGCGAAGGAAACTCATCACAGACTCATCTGCCTCCACACTTCTCTTTGGAGCCTGAGTAGGTTAGCCTGACCGTTAGCCGCTATGCAGAAAATAAATAGAGGATGGCTCATAGGAAACCAATTCTCCTCTGCATTATCTAATAAAAAACTTACTCACCGCCTTAATCTGTACCAACTGCCCTTAAAGTTGAAGATAATTATAAACCTGGTAGTTTAATGTCTGATGGTGCAGTAACTTTGTCTGGCCATAGACTATTAATAGAAGGTGGACAGAAGGTTACAGCTGTACTTACATGTTCATGTCAGTGGATCGTGACAGCGTGGAGCAGTGTCAAAAAGCCACCATCACCAGGACAGGACGAGCTCAACAACTCAGACACTGAGGAAGACTTCAGTGGCAGGAGGAAGATGAAGGCAGCGACCAATGACTTTTCTGGTCGGCTACTGTTTTTATTAACCAGCCGTGTTACAGGCACTGTTCGGGGTAAAAAAAAACCAAAAAGAACAAACATCCACATATTAATAATCTGTGTAACTGTCAAGTGAAGAATCTTACTCAAACATCGATCAATTTAAATGTTATGAACCATAGCAATGTCTGTATTAGCATTGACTGTATCATAACAGTATTATTTCATGTCCTGTGTTTTTTTTCCAGGACATTTTACCGTTTGTTAACCCGTTTTAATGCAGACCCTGTTGACAAAAACGCTATTTCACTTAACTGTGATAGTAATTTGGTAATAAAGGTAAAGGTTTGCAGGTTTAATATGTGCCAATCAACTATTTGAGTTACTGTTGTCTGGTTAATAATCTGGATTTGCAGCAGATATTTTTATAGGACTTTAAATTTAGGGACAACAACTCTTAACAGAATTAACCTGTGAAGTTGTTAACAGCGTATTTTATTAATAATTGTACTTTTTAAGATTTAAATGAGCTTTTTATAAATATGGATTAAAGTATTACAGTTCTATTGTAGACTTTTTTTGAAAAGTTGCGATCTCTGTGATTTCATTTCGAAACAGCTACTACTGTCTCAACTCTGATTCAATCCCCTTTAATTCATACTCTGGAGGATTTGGCCTTAAGTGTTCTTCTGGACGGCACTCCAAGGTCAATTTGGTTCATAACTACATAACCAATATCTAAATTTAGCATATATTTAACATTTCATACACACAGCCCTACTCTCTACCTCTCTGCAGCCTGCTGAATATTCAGTAGGTAAAATTGCCGCATATGAATGATACCATAGAAACTACGATCGCAGGATCGCCGTCACATCTCAACTCCCAGCATTTATTTTCCTCCCTGCTGCCTCATTGTCCACTCTTTTTTTCTTCCACTAAACAGCTGTGCTCGGCGACATCTTTGTCAGTGTGATAACAGCTCAACACAAAAGCTCTCAATAAGTTCAAAAAAGGGACCTTGGAATATGCAATATTGTGAATTAGCATCATGTCCCACTTTGTGGAACAGACAAAAAGTAGTGCACGACAGATTCAAATCAGAAACAGGGAAATTCCATTGGTAGAACATGAAAAAAAATCCTTTTGGATCACAGGTCTACAGATGTAAATATGGTTCAGATGTGAGTGGATGAAGACAGTTATGGAACCACTGCTGGTGACTAAACAATCAGTTGGATGTAGTGATGTGAACCTCTGCAAACTGTCCACCAACACACAAAATCAATGGTTACAGACGCACCAAGGAGAAGCAGTCGCTATTACATCACAGATGAACACTGTGATACGGACACACACGGACGTGCAGATACAGATAGTCAAAGGACACGCGTAGGCTCTGAGTCTGCTAGATGTTTCACACAGAGTGCAGAATGATACATGCCCATTCTTTAATTGGAGGTTTATGAAACCTGCAGGTTGCAGGTGCCAAGCCGTTTGCAGACGGATGCCAAGCGGTTGCTACGACAGCAGGTTGTGACCCTGCTGTAATTGTGGAGATGATGCCATTTCCCCAGCTCATCTGGTACCTACATCTGTGCCAGCACCAAAAAAAAAAAAAAAAAAAAAACGCTGACAGCCAGAGCACATAACGGAAACTGAACCAGAACTTCAGTGGAAAGAACTCTGCACTCACACCAACCCTTCTGAGGTTTACCACTCCAGGTTCCTTCTCCTGACTGATCTGATCTTTCACAGCTTTCACTCTTTCACATATTGGCCAGTATACAGTATTAATAAGTCTAAGTATTTGAAGTATGGCATTTCTTTTTCACAATTTCAAATATATGTTCCCACAACAACAGTAACATCTGGTTCTACCCACTGTCAATGATGATATCAATGATGTTGATAATCCTACAAATTGCTGATGAATGATGTTGATAATCCTACAAATTGCTAAAGCTGTAAAAAAACTCATTTTAAAACACTTACAACTATTGAACTATATGAGAATTTGAATATACACTGTTGGGTTTACATTTTACACGCATACGAACTATACAGTGCAAACATAATGTTATGTATTAGGTTGAGGTTAATGAACCTAGACTTAACCATCCAGTTAGCTGCTAGCTTTTGTTTTCTACTCTATTCAGTTCAGTAGTTTTTGCAATGATGCCAGCCAGTGACAGTTCATGACCTTCTCTTTAATTATTATTTGAGTGTAAATACCTATAAATTGTATTTAAATGCTAAAGGATTATCATGTACATCATACTCAGAAAAACTGTTCCTAGAAAAGATGATGGGACTTTACTATCATTTTAATTTGTTTTATGCTTTCCAGTTTGTTGTTGTTGTTGTTGTTTCAGGGTGGTTGATATTTCTCTCATTAATTGTACATGTGAATTTACTGTAGTAACCCAAAAAGACAACACCTCTGAATAGATTTTATTTCTTCTTTTTAAGGCAATATAAAAAGAAGACATAAAAATCCTAGTAAAAATAATCTTGGATTTCTGTCGAAGCTCTCCCACTTTCGCCTGGTTATATTTTGCCTCTGCACTGAGAGAGTTTATGTAAGGAGCTACACTAACAGCCTGTGAGCTTACAGTAGCTTCTTCACTCATGCTGACTGTTGCTAAATATTTCAACAGGGAACTAGATTTTTCTCCCCTTGCATCTCACCAACGAACCATCTCCAACCAACAGAAATCATCATAACAAATAAACACCAGCGAAAGACGTATCCTCTTCGAAACAGCACGGAGGACATGAAAAAAAAGGAGCTCAGTGAGCAGCATTTTGAAGGTGAGCTATGAAAATGTAATGTATAATTGCCTGTGGTGGGAATGCTCCAGCTGCTGGCTGCATGGGAAAAAGAGAGGTGTGAAGCAAGAGGAAAACAGCAGCGAAAACATGATTCTCCAACCACAAATTCAGGTAGATCAGAGCATTATGGCCACTGTGGGATCGTTGTCAGAGAAAACACGTTTAAAGGGAGTTGCTAAAACAACTGACAGTAATAGTTAGACGTCATAGCAACACATTATAACTATGAAAACACACCCCTTCTTCATCAAAAACACCAAAACCTCTCAGCAATTACAGCCAACAACTGGAGCTGCCAGCCAGTAAAATGACAGAATTTTTTCCTGAATGAATGAGAGTTTGCCTGACAGTGAATGTGAAGTCAGTTTCTTAGGTGAAGCTATGGGAACAGAGCCAACCTGGATTTATTTATTAGATTTTTAAAAATAATCTGCTGGGACAAATATTCTTGATTAAGAAAAAAGAAAATGTAAAAAAGACTAAGATTAAATGTCATTTTTAGGAAGCCATAGATATTAAAGTTGCACTTTATGTTAAATGTTTTTTTATAAATTTCAAAGACTTAGGAATAATAATAATAATAATAATTGGGAAACTAATCTTAAACTGTTGAAGAAGCACCCAGGGTGGCATGTAGCATGTAGCTTCCCTTTACCTCTTTCCAAAAGAAATATCGTATATAAAACCATTGGATACAAAAAAGAACGATCATCATTCAAGTCAAATGATGGTGTGTGTGTGTGTGTGTATGCAGGTACTTACTGTTGTATGTACTGTTTTTAACTGATGTTGTGCACAAGTCATCAATGCTAACCATGCTAACAGCCTTAGCCTTGCTTCTTCTATTGGCCTTATATCAGACCAGTAACCTGTGAGTTTCATTTCTGCCCCTACTGGGCTTGTGTTCCACTGGTACACTACATGTTTCATTTGATGAATCATGTGGAATAAAAAGAAAATATCACATAAAATATACTTCCGGTGGTGATACTGAACTATAACGTGTTTAATTATGTAATGAACTAACAATGTAGCAGCAGTGGTCATGACCATAAAACAATATAATGTGCTTTTGAAAAGATGTACACCACTGTCGTAGCTTCATACGACACCTAGCTCATATTAATAACAGATCCAGATGTGGAATTCAGTACGGAGGCCACGGTGTTACATACATTTTGTTAATCCTAATGAGTTTGTGTTACGAGCCAGTGTACAAGCCCAACTCTTTTCCATCAACTCCCAGACACTTGTCAACATCATTATCCAGTCTCATTATTATCTCCCTTCTAACCTGAATTATACATCAAGCAGCCAATCCACTGTCAGCATCCAGAGCCATCGTGGGAGCGTTCCTGATAATTCCCAGCGGAGGATTTTCCTTTTAATCAGAAGACTGGAGCAACATCAGCATTTTTTATCCTAAGGAACAGAGAGGAATATAGGAAGGAAGACAGAGGATAAAGGGAAGGAAGGAGGGAAAGGTTAGAGTGAAATATGAGGCGTTTGAATCCCTCTGGTACAACAACACAGTGTTCATACATAACCACATGACCCCTGTGTGTGAATGCTGCCGGTGTTTACATGGGTTTGTTTGTAGGTTTGAACACCAGCAAGTTCATACGTGGATTACCTGTTTATTCATTTATAAAGCAGAAGCTCTATTTTCAAACATGTGTAAAGAGAAGCCAAATATAAAGATGGAAAACAGTTGTTATTTAGAATAACGTTAAGCTACATAAAATATAATTCAGGCTTAAACTCATTAAAGACGATTTTGACCAATTACAGCTGATTTAGCATCATTAATGAAGATGTGTTGATGTCAAGGACAGAACAACTCATCCAGTATATAGAATAGAATAGAATAGAATAGAATAGAATAGAATAGAATAGAATAGAATAGCCTTTATTGTCATTGTAACACGGGGTACGGTACAACGACAATAAATTTCCTACGTCGTATGACATTGAAATATTTTGACCTCCAGTGCCAACAATCGACTGCCAAAAGGCATAAAAGTACAAATGATTTACTAAACAATTATGGAGAAAAGTTGAGTTATGAATTAACAAAGATGAAGTAGAAAAATTAAACTCAGAGAACCAGCAGGTTTTTTTGGAATCCGGCTGCGGGCTGGATTGCAGCATTCAGCGGGGCGTTGATGATCTCTGCTCTATGGCATACAGTAAACTGCTGATCATGTTTTGTGATATGAAATGTGTAAATGAGAAAGTGGTCGAAAAGTTATACCGACTCTTCTCTGGCTCGTGATGGTGCTGAAGCTATAGATGTATTCACATTTAATCTTTGGTAAATCAAATGGAAAACAGATTGTGAAATACAATGATACATGAAGGAGAATGGAGTACTTTGTAACATATTCCAGCTGAAAATTTCTTTTTTTTTTTGTTTTTTTGACGACTGATATAAAGGACAAGTTTTCATATTGTCTTTTGGAGCTGGTTTTTAATATCCATTCATCTGAATTTTCAACTTAATTTTCTATATATACTTTTGTAACAAATGATTATTTATTATGATGTTAAAATAAAGTTGAACAAGAGGAGTGTTCGCAGGCAACGCTACCCCCCCACCCCCCTCTCTGGAACACTAACTTTGTCTCCAAACAATTGTTCTCCCGCCCGTCCCTTTCAATTGCCTCTGGTCTTCATTAACATAGAAATTGACGAGGCACAATGGATGCTCTAAAGCAAAGTTCAGACAGCAAGGTCGGCCAAGAGTCAGTAATTAAGTCGCTCCTTAAAGTGTGGCGGATGTGCCTGTTAGTGGCGCAGGCATCGAGTCATTCGCACAGAAGTGAAGGTTGGACGTAATATCCATCTCCTTGCCAGAGAAGCCTGCAGGACATCGGCACTGAGTGGGGAAACAATTACAGGCTATTACCAACGGCAGAGACAGATGAAAGTGTCTCCTCGTTTCTAACACGTATTATACGAGTGAAAATGTCCAAAGCTTTCATAGAGACGTGTGACCTGGTGACGCCTTCGTGTCCCCGTCCTTGTGGCAGCTGACCTGCTGCACTCGGCTGTCGTCTGATCAGTTTAACAAAGATTACAGCAAGTGTTGAAATGGTTTGGACACAAGAGCTGAGAACAGATGATGGCTTCGTGGGCTTTTATACCAAAAGTCCAACGCCAGGTCAAGTCAGGAGACTTAAGACTCACTTTGATATTATTATATATACATATATCTAATAGCACTAAAGAGATGATTTTATGCCTAAACCACACAGTACTCAGTGTTGTCGTGCTGTAAATGCGAGCGAAATGACATGAAATATACGACCCCCGGTTTGCAGAATTGTACAATGCCAACAGTTTGCTCTGGTCGTCAGAGTGAAATATGTGCCATGTAATAAAACACATAAATTATCCTGGATAACCAGGAAGCGGGCGTCATCATCATCATCACCCTCATTTCCTCAAAATGCCAAACACAGTGTGAGCAGTCAGGGAAGTGTGTTGTTATGGATGTCAGCAGGGACATAAATAGGAAACACAACTTTGGATTCAGAAAATGTAAAGCCATTTATCTGGACTTTGCAGAACAATTCTTTACGAGAATATCCTGAACACATGATTTGACGGGGTTTGAGCAAAATCAGGAAAGGAACGGTAACATAAATAAGTACTCATTACAACCCAGGTATGAGCAGCAGTGTGTACAGCACAGTACACTGAACCCTGACACAGGAGATAAATATAAATGTAAACTGAAGCTAGTGTTGATTTCCACTCAGCAAGGTCAAACAAAAGAAGACCAGGGAACAAATCGAATCATATTGTTGAGCCAGAAACAGGCATCAATAACTGGTGGTTCTGTTTGACCATCAGACCATCACAGATCGTCATCGTGAAGTTAGTTTTCAGGAATTACAATCAGATATTTTAGTTCTGACCATGAGCTCAACTTACTATCAACTGTAAAGAGAATGCTAAAACGTGTTTATTACAATTAGACATTTGAAGCTGTGTCTCACAGGAAATTAGTTCATGTTGCATTTTACTTGTAAAAATATTTTGAGCTTGCACCATTAAATTCTATTGTTGTACGTTGAGATGTGTTTAAAAACAGGACTGAAATCAACTCTGAGTGTTTTAAGAGAAGATTTTGTTTGTCATCTTCATTCAAGCAGGTCAAGGTTCTCCTTTTATCTCTTCAACCAATGGACTGACACTGACCTTTGACATGGGATTTTAGACAACAATGGACGACTGAAGTCTTATCTTAAAAATTGGAATCCTCTTGTTGGGCAGTGGGAAAAGCAGGAGAACCCACAGCCGCTGGTCGGACCGTTTACTTAAACCACTTCATGACGTGATGCTACTGTTTTGTCAGATCAATGACAAACAGAGTGATGGTTTGACTGCAGTGGCCTCCTTTTCTTGGCGACGTGGGGTCTGGTCACAGTCTATTTAGAGCAACAACTATTATATCAGCAGTATTTATGTATGATTTAATGACATTATGGTGAAACCATACAACTGTTTTTTGTTGCGACAACCTCCAAGCCTTAGATATGGATCCCTGCTGCACCACAAACCACAGAGATCAATAACCCTGATTCACAGATGAAATATGGACGGTGGAGGGGGACGTGATTTAACTTCATTTAAAAGGAGAACTTTTTCAGGAACAGTAATGGTTTGGTCTTTAACTACCAAAAACCTCTACCTTTCCAGTTCAAGAGGGGCTTGAAAAACACAAACAACGATCCATCCGTGTTCGGTGTGTTCATGTGCATCAAACGTGTCATCTCGTGGAGATGTAGACTTTTTGTCTGCGTAAGTGACAGAGCTGGTGACGACAGCTGTGAGGAACATCTGCTTACACTGTGCCAGTCGTGCATCAAGTGTTTCCGTATTATTCCATGCTAACAGATGAGACAGAGGGAGGGGAGACGGAAGGGGGTGAGACGGGGTGGAGATAGAGGGCGTAAGAAACATTATCAGAGGAGTGCAGCTAGCAGCCACAATTTTTTCAATAATTACAGGCAAAACTGTTCGATAGCACTGCTCAGTGAGAGTGTGGAGCTCTATCAGTCTTCCTTTTCAGCGCTGATTGTCCTCTTTGTCTGATGTGACATAATGAAAGGTGGCAGTCATCGTTGGAAATATAAACATCCAGGGCTTTGTCTGCTAATGTGTTTGTGCAGAGCCAGACAAAACACATTCAGGTCGGTCGGAAATAAATGCTCGAGTGCGACTACGGAGACAACACACTGTCAAAACTGACAATTGTTACGGTCGACGTTTTAAAGAGAAATCCATTCAACATACAGAGGAAGCTTGAATAATTACTGAAAATCCACCTATAGTTCATTTTTCAGATTGCTCTTAACACGACAGGTTAATAAGTTGATATTATAGAACTCCTGTTTCTATATGGTTACAAAAGCATTACATTTGCAAGTTAATTTGAGGACTAAAGGCTAACAGTCTGAGATAAAATGATATTAAAGAAAACGTGCTAAAGAATTTCTCTGGCTATGCTTTAAGGAATTAAAAAAAAAAAGCCTTTCGGAGGGACGGGTACATGATTCCTCCCACAGATCAAATGTTCATCTTGTGAATTTGGGTCAATTTAACACTCAATTCAACAATCAATTAAATGGATTGTTGGTCCAGAATCCGCCGCCACACACACAGCCGTGAAAAGGAATAAAGTTGTAGAAGAAAAAAGTTTTCTAAAGAAAAACTAAAAACAAGATAAGTTACACAAAGTGTCTGAGAGAAACACTTCAAGTGTTCTTTTTTTATTTCTAAAATAACATTATGAGCAAAAAGGTGACAAAAAAACCTGATGTATGAAATTAAATAGAAAAAAAAAAGTCATAAACAAAAATGTCACTTTAAAAATATTGTTATAATTATCCAAAAACTTTTTTTGGGGAGTTAAATTATAACTAAAAACAAACTACAAACTGTAACAAAAACCTTGTCAACATTTGTTTTCTACCAAAACAAATCATGCCTTAAAATGAACCTCAGCTGAACAACAGTCAGTGGGTGAAATATATTTTTTGGCTGCGAGGCTTTAAGATCATTTACATGATGGAGAGACTGCAATCAATTTACTGTTAGTTCACGCAGAAAGAAGAAAAAAAAAAACTGCAAACACAACAGCCAGTTAAAAGTTTTCAACAATCAGAGGCACAGAGACGCTCTGTTGGCCCTGAGTCACAGACTTTGTCATCAATGAGTTGGTATGCTGTATGTTGCATATTCACATTTTCTTTGCTGTCAAGTATTATATTCATCATGAGCTAAAAAGCTATTAGCTTAATTCAACAATAATCCAAAGGGGACTATTGTGACATTTCCACCCTCTCACGATGTAAACTACTCTATATGGCAAATCAATCACTAACCTACCCGCTCATGAGATGACCTACTGAGAATAAAACACCCACTGTTTACTGAGTTTGGTAAATATTTAGTCATTTGTCAGGAGCCACACGGACAATCAGTCCGTCCTGTCACTGCTGCGTTCATCATGAAGACATGGAAGGAGGCTAGAGTGGGTGTGTCGTTAGCTGTAAGCTGATCTGGAGTCAGTCAGCAGCGGCAGCAGACGTGGTCCCCGCTGCCTTGCTCATGTCTGACAGCAGGAAGATTAGCATGAAGGATGTTCTTCATTTGTTAAGTGCTGATACTAATCCCATCCATCCACCTTATAAAGTGACGTGCTGTCTTCATGCAGCCTGTACGGCCTCTCCTAGATCAACATTGATGGAAATTAAAAACAGAACCTGCTGCCCTCGTTCCACCAGCAGTTATTCCTGTCTGATTGGCCAGCGGCTGCTCTGAACCAAGTGATTTTTTTTATATAATATTTTTAAATTTTGAAGGATGTGATACAGGGTCTATGAGGAAAATGTGTTCTTTGAGAACAACGGAGAAAAAAAAAAAAACCTGCGTTATTCACGTGAGTAAACAGTGAATGACTTGGACCAGTGTGACTTATGCTAATGTACTGCGTAGGTCAAAGATCTCGCACAGTATATGGCATTAAAGTATGCAGCGTGTGTGTGTGACATTTACAAAATTAAATCTCGTGGGCCTGCTGAGATTTAGAGGCTTACAGTACGTCGTTACGTTTGCCTGGAAGCTACGAGCTTTGGCTTTTCAGCGAGAGCTAAACAGGAGTTTGTATGGAACAGTGGAAACAGCCTGGAACTTTGGGAAACAGGTGGAGAAAACCATCATCTCATCTCAGTATGAACCCCTTCATAGACCTAATCCAAGAATAATGATTATTGTGACTCCCTTCTAAGATAAAAAAGGAGAATCAACCTATAAACTCAATAGTGAATACAGTTTAAAGCACCTTGAAAACAGGACTCCACATTCTAATAAAAACTCCCAGTGGTCCTACTGACCTTCATTTAAACAAGTGTGAATAAACAGTACTCACATGTTAAAGTAGAGTCATGTCCATCCATGTCCCCAGGAGCAAAGCACCAGACCTGTTAGTGTGAAAGAAAAGACAAATAAATGAACACGGAGTCACAGAGAGGAAGTGGAGTAAATCCACAGAGAGAAATGACCTCAGGTGACACTAATCAGCACAGGTGCAGCTAATTAGTGTCTTTATTCAGTCAGGAAGTTTAAAAACATTTTGAATCATCATTTGGAGCTATTTGATACACACTGTATTATTTAATTAAAATGTTTAAACAATATTTTTCAATATTAAAGTTAAAATGACCAGTTTATTGAACTGTAGCAGAAAAATATCACTCAGAAAATCTCAATTCCAATGCCGTTCTTTGGCTTATTGTAGATTTTGTAGTGTGACATATGATGACTTAGTATGTCACTTACAGAATAAGTGGAAAACAATGTTACTGACCGACTGCCCCAACATCACCATACAGATCAGGGGTCAGGGGTCAGGGACCCCTGTTATAGCTCATAGTTCCACTGAACCAAAGACCAGTGTCCATGTCTAAAGATTCACCAAAGAAGAATAGAACCACTGATTAGAACAGGCATGGACAAACTAAGGCCCGGGGGCCGGGTGCAGCCCATTCATCTTTTTAATCCGGCCCACCGGATTTTTCCAAATTATATAATTTATTTATATTATCATTATACTACCTGCAATAACCACATTTCCCCAATAGATGGCATAGGAAATGATAGAAGCATTTTCTTTACATGCCTTTTATTAGGACAATTGTGTCCAGTCAAAAAGTTTGTCCACGCCTGGTTTAGAAGAAAAAAACCTTCAACCAATCATTGTGAACTACAGGAGGTTTACCCCCAATGCAGTTTATCAGAGGGTAAATTAGGAGCTAAACATGTATTGACAGAACGAGGTGAATGTAAGAAGTCCATAAAGAAGCCCTCCACTACACCACTTCACTGTGTGCACTTTAGAGCTCAGTAGGGACCGTAATATTTAAGCGGCAGAAGGTGTTGAGATGTTTATGTGTGCGGCGATGGAGGTGGGTTCATAAATAGCCTGGTACTCTGACACAGTGAGCTGGGCTGAGGAGGTTTGAGGGATGCTGAACTTGAAAAAGCTACGCAGTGAATGAAAGTTCACACAAGTGGCCAGGCCTTCCTCCTCTGTGCTGCCCACACAGTCAGGGCTTCACACACCACTTTATGTAACCGCAGATGAAGAAGGAGAAGAAGAAGAATGGAGGCTGAGATGTACAGAGGTGGCAGGAAGAGAAACAGAGAGGATGAGAACGGAGCGAAGGTACGAGTCTCAACAACAGGCTCCAGTTGCTACGATGGGTTTCCTGAGGAAACAAGGTCTCTGATAAACAAGAGAAATAATCACAATCAACAGCTAGGAGTTAGTTTGTATGTGATATAATGACTTAACCTGGACTTCAATCACATCCAAGTTATAACGTGCACCTCTGAGGACCACAACTTGTGTCCTACCCCTAACCCAGGAAGTCATGCACATTCAGCAGCAGTTTCTGCCCAGGCTCGAGGCTTAGGGATTTTCATTAATTCAAATACATTTAGGAACTTAAACTGATTCTGTCATTAGTGGGAGGTTCCTTTATAAATAATAATCTTAACAGTTTGTCTTATTTTGTTTTTTTATTTTTTCCAAATGCTGCTACATTGTTTTCTGGGATTTTTTATAAGAAATGCAGAAAATGATAATCTGTGAAAACAACACAAACATTTGTTTTTTTTTTTCTGTTGCTCATTAAAAACTCAACCTACACTAATTATATTAATGATTTCCTTTTGGCTTTTAGCTACTTGTGTAAACATTGTGTTGTAATTTGTACACTTTACTATTCCTAAAATACCCCAACCCTATGGAGATTTATCAAGAATGACAGAACTGTAAGTGTGACTAAAATACACATATTGATACTTATATCTCTGCTCTAGAATCACTAACAGGGGTTAAAGAGAGGGGGGAGAGAGTGAGAGAGAGAGAGAGAGAGAGAGAGTGACCTCACTTCAACCACAGCTGTATTATTAAAGAAAAGTTTATCTCTTCAGGCAGAGAGCTGTCTGGCATTCTGCCCAGTCCCACCATCTCATCACCACTTAGGCTGTGAGAATGTGGTGTGTGTGTGTGTGTGTAGAGAATAAGCTGGCTCTCTCTGTGGTCAGTGCGTGGTCTTCTCTCTGCAACTACAAGTTTAAAAAAGCACGGTTGTGTCCAAGAGCACTTTAAGAAATCTTTTTTTTTTTTATTGTCCGCACTAAAAGTGTTCGGTAACGACATTGTGTCGCCACTGTCAATATGTGGTAAGTGGGACAAACAACAACAGTGGATCTCATCTCACCCTGTGACCCCCACAACTCGGTGCTAGTACATTTCGTAGAGGTAAATCGCTTTTAACTTCGATATATCACTTTCAAAAGGCAAGACTGGGACGGACTTTTGTTCATTTCAACCAACCGACAAAGACCGACCATCCAACAAGAAATACCAGAGTTACAGACAACAAACTCATACTGGTAATGAATCTACAACAATAAGGAACGCCATGAACCACAGCTCAGTGTGTCATTCATAAATGGTTCTTGATGTTTGAGTTGGAAACATATATCACATGTCAAACATTTCAAAACAAAGGAAAATACTTAACATTTCTCATGTCTCATTCAGTTTGTTGGCTCACGGCAGAAAACGGTGGCTTCTTCATCAACTTTCTTTACACCTCTACACTTTGAAAGATCTCCTCTTGTTATATCCTCACTTCACACTGCTGTTCTCCTTTGTTCTCCTCCAAACCACCTCCCTCTGACTTTCCCTCTCCTCTTCAGCTCACAGGTGTGATTGATTAATCACCTCCCCTGCCCTCGCCCCTCCCCTCCTGATCTGCTGATAATGGACTGTTCTTTTCTTTCAACTTTCTTGTTAGTAGTAGTTCAAATGTTATGACTTAGCAGAGAATCAAGATTTCTTCCTGGTGATCTGACTTGATAAGTTACTTACATAACCACCACCAGGTGGTGCTAAAAACACATTTTGAATAACCTGCATCACATTATGGGAGTCATCAGTGTGCCATCAGATCATCAAGTGTACCTAGAAAAATTATTTAATTTCACTTAATTGGAGCAAAAAATATTATTAGATTATTATTTGTCTTTATTGTCTTTGTGACATGTAGGACAATTAAATAATCTTTCACTAGGTGGAAGCAGATGGCTCTAAAAACTAAAAAAAGAGGGCGACTGAGCAGTTTATCTTCCTTCAATTCCTGTGAGTATATCAGGGTTGTGTTCAACTAAACAGGCCTAGGTTTCACACTGAGTGAGTAAACTGATTAAATTAAAAGATAATTGTATTTAAAGACATATACCTTTTGGCATTTATTTATTTAATGTGGTGGTGCCACAATGAATCTCACTGTAAAGTATGTGCCATGGGTTTAAAAAAAAAGGGTTGGCAATGTTGCATTAACAACAAGGAAGAGATTTGTATCGTTTCTTGTTCCAGGAGCCAAAAGGCCGACACATCTCAGATGATAAAATGACTCAGCAAATGGATTATGTCAGGATTGAGAATGGTTAAGATTTAAAGAGAACTAATTCAGAACAGCTTTGGATCAGAGCAGAGTGAATCTACAGAGCAGCTCGTTGTAAACACATCCAGTTTAAAGTATTTATTTAGTTACTGGTTGAAACACATCATCAAGACAAATATGAAAATCAGACCCTGGCCAGACCATGGTGCACATGGACAGATATCTGGACCTGTTGATCCAAATCTGTTTCAGAGTCTTAGATACAAATACAGACTGATCTGGAGTCAGATTGAAATCTAGATTAAATAACTAGTGTGATGCTGTGTTGTAGCAGTGTTAGAGAACAATGAAACTAAGACAAGGTTCCTGCTTCGCACTGTAAAAACAAAGGCTGACAGGTCCCATAATAACCGTGTCAGGTGCTGAATGTTGGATATTCAGGCAGGTGGACGGCACATCCAGGAGCTGCTTCCTCCGAGTCTGGAAAAAGAGGTGATTTGTCAGTACTCTATGGCTCCCAGCTTTGTAAAGTGTTTATGAGGAGCAGGAGTCATGGTTTTCCAGTGCAGAGAAGAGAAACACTGTCTCCTCAGAGCTTTAAAAAATAGGTCATGCTCCGCTCTCTGATCTACTCCGCACTGTTACATAAAACGCTCTCTGCGTTATAACAAATCACACTTTCTTTCCCCAACTCTCACTCTGACACAGTGAGTCTGTACACAAACACAATCTACATGTATATTTGATAACCACAGCTAAATGTACGGAATTCAAAGCAGGGCTTCGTGCTGTTCAATTAGGACCTTTGCACCAAAGTATCTTTGACGTCAGGGTACGTACATATGTGACAGGACAGGTTTCTGTGGTCCATCTGAGGACCACATCAAAGACAACACTGCGGTCATCTCACCTCTGCAGCCGATTAACACACTGCACACACACCGCAACGGCGCCCCCCACCTCTTTACCTTGGCAGTCATAATCACAGCCCTAATTGCTGGTGATGCCATTGTTTGTTTTCAGATGAAAGCTGCTGAGAGATGAGAGGGCAGCTTAATGCCACAGAGAGAAGATCATCTGAAGCCTTCAACCTTTCCTATTGATTCCCAGACAACATGACGCCTATTGACTTTAAACAACTCATAAATAAACACCGTTTGATATCCACAACTCAAATAAAGAAGCAGTATTTTTTTCTCTTTTTTTGCCAGTTGATGAAGGTTGCCTCCACAAAGACACACTTTGTTCATGTGTGAGCTTTGGTTTTTCTTTCTAGTTTGTCTTGTTCTTGGTACATATCTACTCATGTACCTTTCAGATATTTAGTTCACTTTGATCCACCTGGGTCTGAAATGATCACTTAGCCTGAGATAAGATCTTCCCTCCCTGCAGGCTACTTTAGCATCGTACCATATATTTACCTGAGGTGTGTTTACATCTGTCAGGTTAGGTTTTATTAAGACACAGATAGTGTGGAGCAGTACCTTGGGAAAGGCATCCAAACAGACTCTGGACAATTTCCGTACAACGTGCAGGGCAATTCACATTGGCGTCAAAAATCCACCCATTCTGATGTTGATCTCTTTGACATAATTCCTTTAGTCACATGACATTTGACCTACAGAGACCTGCATGCAGTGCTTAGAAGGAAACAAACATGACAATTTGAAGGACATGTCAACACAGACGGTCTGATCTCAAACCCATGAGTGACCAGGTCGTCCAAATAAGACGTGAACCCTTTCTGTTCAATGAAATCAACAAATCACTGGCAGATAACCCTCTCCCCGGGGGTTTCTGGTTTCCTTGTGGAATTCCAAGGTATTCCCATGTGGGATGAAACACATTATCCCTGATATGTCCAAGGTGTACCATGGGGTCTCCTACCAGTCAACCCATCCTACAGTGAGAGGCACCCAGGAGGCATTCTAATCAGATTCTCCAACCACCTCTAACATGGCTCCTTTCCATGCGCAGCAGCATTGGATGTCAGTGCTCCTTAACCTACAGTGTCTCCCCTGAGAGGCTCAGCACTTAAACATGGAGGGGGGGGGCTGGGATGTCACACCGATTCTGACTTACTGTCATGTTGTCAGGGGCATTAGGCTCCAGTAGGGTCTCCAAAGGAACAATCAGAGTCAGAGAAGTCGCCAGAGAAATAAAAGATGCCATACATCTGACTTTGTGATGAGTTTGGTGACCTACAAATTATGGCTTTGGAAATTAAACATTTACAGTGACATTCAAATACAAAACAAAAAAGAAAAATCAAAGACAAAACCGTTACAAATGCCAAACAATAAAAAAGGGAAAAGAGGAAAACCAGCTCCTGTTAAAAACTGCTTCTAACAACTATGTACAAACAGCATTTAACCCTTTAGCCTATGTTAAAAACATGCTTTCAAATGAAGGAAGGGGAGGTGGATGAAAAGAGTAGTCAGTAAAGGTGGAGTGGGTGGAGAAGAGGGTCAAGGACGGTGTGTGACAAAAAATATTGTCGTAAAACCGAAAGGGAAGGTTTACAAGAAGGAAGTGAGCGCTGCTATGAATCCAGTGAAAGGAAAACGTACACAAAGACTTAGTTAGCTCTGGTAGAAATGTTACTGTTTGTCAACTGTTGGTGATCATCCTGACTTACCTGTAGCTACATTTTCATTTGATTATACAGCAATTTGGTTCAGGTTTTTGGATTAAAATCTAAGCATACCTTATATGTGTTGTTGGTATTTTTGTTATATATATATGGTATATTATCTGGCTATAGCTTTTCCATCTTAGTTTTTTTTTCCTAGCTAGGTTTCAATTCTTTTAATTTGATAATCTTTAAGCTAATTTGTTTTAGCTCTTTTAGCAAAGTCATGATATTGGTCGCCAACGATTGCATACAAAGCCTAGGTCACATTTTTTGGTTGCACTCTCTTCATTCTCTGTTTGAAACTCCTATAATTCCGGCTGTGTTCCTGGCATGGACGTGGACGTTTTGATCGGCTAACAGGTTTAGCTGAAGGATGGAAGATAAAAGTCTTCTTCAACATATTAAGACGTTGAATGCAGAGCAAAACCCAGCGCTTTATAAAACCTACAAACACATTGGACCAATAGGCCTCGGAGAAACCAAATCTGACAGATATTTAGGAGCTGACTGCTTCTCTTCATTATGATGAATGTAGCAGCTCCCCCGTCTCCATGTTGCCTTGTTAACATGGAGTCCACTTCAGTCCAACTCCTAACACCAGCCTGCATCACCAGCCTAACACCTTCACTGGTTTGATTTTATTTCATTTTCCAGACTGTGGAGATTTCAGATTGGGACAAACAGAAAGTTCTACTGTTTGAGACTGACCTCAAAACACAAACCATTTTATAAGACATATTTATGACCAAAATGTACACATTTTTAGCCAATTTAGTTGTATTATTATTATTATTATTATTGAATGAGGAACATCATCAAACGCTCCTGTTCAGAGGTTAGGGTCAGACATTTAGTTGATATTAAAGGTGTTCAAGAGGTAAAAGTACGTCACTGTTTTGTCCTCAGAAGTCAAGGAGACAAATCTGCGCGCGCGCGTGTGTGTGTGTGTAACGTGGAGACATTGGACAAACGTTGAGGAAAAAAAACAAAGAGAAAAATATGAAAGGATGAAACAAAGCTGTGATGTTAAAGTCAATTAAGGCCAGAACTGAAATATTGATGAAGAGTTTGGGGAGTGATGAGGACAAAGAGGAGTCAGAGAAGGAGACGGGGGTAAAAACATCAGAGTTGGAACAATAACAGTCATGTTTAGAGATGGAAAACATGAGTGAAATACTCCAAACTAAAAGGTTTCTGTCTCACTGTACTGTACTGTAATACACACAGTGTCCATATAGAGGTTGAATGAGATGATAGTGGTACACATATCATGTACTGGAGTGTGTGTGTGTGTGTGTGTGTGTGTGTATGATGAAATGTGCGGTAAGAGTGTGGGTTACTGGTGACGATTCTACTACTGCTACTACACACCATCTAAACATGGTGTTTTACAGGCAGCGTATGCAACTATATGATCACATTGCCAAATCCAGCTTTCTTCAAGCTTTAACAGATGGAGAGAGATAAAACACAACTGCATGGGAACATAAATATACATAGTGTGTGTGTGTGAGTGTGTGTGTGTAGTTCAGTTCTTAACTCTTTTTCCAGGGAAAGAACCACATTATTAAACAAGAAACTTTTACCAGTACAAAGTCCATGAGGATTCCGGTGAGAATTCCAAAGTCAGTTCCCCATACATCAGAGAGACTTCCCTGTAGATGACAAACAGAATGAAACGTTTGAAATCAAA